CCCCACATTTAGACTATCTTTTTACCCGGATTCTTTATCGGTCCCTTCCTTACTTCTAGCCGGCAACCTGGAAGGGTTGGTCTGCTCAAACTTTAGGTGCCTGAAGGATGCCCTTCCCTTAGTCCATACTTTTGGAGCGTATGTCCTTTTCCTCCAGTGCGACAACCTGGTAGTTCAGCTAGTATATACTCTGCTATTAGGACCTGGTCGCTCAGTTCTTCGATCTCGGGCCCCAGTTCGAATTCAGCCTTCCTGTAGTACCATCATAGATCACTACTACCTTCAAACTCAGGACTTGCCAAATGGGTTTTCGGTTATTCCAGTTCTCTGGATTTATTGTGCCAAAGCTTCCATTACTAGATGGTGTGACCAAGGTTACAGATTAATCTAGATCCAACCAATAGAATGCAGTCAACTGTACATAGGTCTATTTTTCAAAATTATCACCAGTGGCATTCGAACTCTAGACCTGCCGCTTGGAGAGAGTGACGACTAGACCACTACACAAAGTCAGTAAAATTATTCAAAAAATTAGTGTTAGCACTATAGTATATTATATAAGAATGTGTGCCTAAAACAAAAAAATTTACACTTTGCAATATTTATAAAATCAATTATGCTAATTAATAAATTAAAAATCACCTTTTCTAATACAAGTTTAAGTCTAAACACAGAATTAACTGTTTTATATGCAGATGTCTATCTAGTTTCTATAAAAAGTTTCAATCCATCTCCACTAATATTTAATTCATCTATATATTGTTTTAGATAACTTCTAGCTAAATGACTAGTTTTAAAAAAGCGGCATATCTTATTGTAATATTTTAAATATGTGCTAGTAATTTACATTTTAAAATATCTGACTAATAAGATTAACAAAATGAACAATACAATGAAGATTGATAATAAAAGGATATTTTTGATTAATCTGCCTACATGCAGCAGTAATAGCTGAGGCATTATCAGAAATTACTCTAATGAATTTTTCGGGCCCAATTTTAATTAAAATTTTTTCAATCTCATTAAAGAGTAAATCTGCTGTATAACTAACATGAGACAAATCACGAAGAGTATATAAAAATTTCTTATGATCAGAAGTTATTATTAAAAAATTATAAATTGAAACACCCTGAGGATTTGTCTAACCATCTAATTCTAAATAGAATAATATAAATTTAATACAATTATATAAGTTAAAGTATTGTATAAGTATATTAAAGCTAATTACCAAGTGTCAAGTTATCTGCAGTATTTAAGTATTTTTCAGTCTCCCAATTAATTTTAATCACTTCTTCATTTAATAATATATTAGAAAGATATTCATAAATAGGTAGTACATATGAAGATTGTAAAGATTTAAGTATATCGATAAACCATAGATTCTTAATTATGGAAAATGGAAGTCTACACATAGCAAAGGCTTTAATAATTGTACAATTAATTGCTTCCTTCTTAGAACTTGCCAAAAATTGATTTTTGTTTTCCCAATAATCATTAATACTTATTTTCTGTTTTTTTGATTGATTTTTTAAACTAGTTTTTCTTTTGATAGTTGTCTCTGAACTGCAATTTCAAGATATTTGCTTCTTATTTCATCATCAATGCTTTCATCTTCACATTCTTTTGCAAGATGCACCTCAAGTTCATTGGCTAAATCGAGTATTGCAATATTTACATACTGCAGAAAAATGGCCAAATGATTTTAGTAGAGTTGCAGCAAAATGCTTCCAAACAGGATCCAGTAGTCTTCTTTCAGAATGTTTTGAACATGTTTCATTTTCAGTTTCTCTTTTAGCTTCAGATGAATAATGCGAAGCCATTGAAGATGAATCATATGAAGTCATTGAATAAATTTTGAGAAGCCGTTAAAGGTAGCTTATGCGAAATATACAACTTTAAATAAAAAAATTGTGAAAATCGAACTATTATTAGCAGATACTTATATATGCATATTTAAATTCATGTGCTATTCGCACAGTATTAATATTAAATTATTATTATCTACATACTTAATTAGGGATTTGGCTATTCATTTAGTCTTTGCAAAATAACTGAGTAAGTATTAGTTTTGAAAAAAAAGCATTTATTAGTTCTTAATTTTTTCTCTTGCTTACAAATACAAAATTGACTTAACCTTATTACATTATTTATTGATTACCACTTTAGCTTTTAAATTAATGAATATTATACTAATAATTCATATTATAAAATAAATATAGTCTGATCCAAAATATGGCTTTGATCTATTTTCAAATTGATTATATGTTACACATGATTATTTGGTCGCTTCAAAACTATTCAAGCCAACGATATATATTAAATAGGTTGAGTTAATTTTGTGTTTATAAGCAAGGGAAAAAATTAAGAACTAATAAATGCTTTTTTTTTCAAAACTAATACTTGCCTGGTTATTTTGTGAAGACTAAATGAATAGCCAAATCTCTAATTAAGTATGTATATAATGATAAGCTAATATAAAACAATAGAGAAAAGAATGTGTTAATGAGAAAAAAATTTATTACATCATTTATTGATTACTACTTTAGCTTTTAAATTAATGAATATTATACTAATAATTTACGTCATAAAATAAATATAGTCTGATCCAACAAATTGATCACATATTATATGTGATAATTTGGTTGCTTCGAAACTATTCAAGAACAATATATATTAAATAATTTTTTTCTTATTAACATGTTCTTTTCTTTATT